GGGAGATTTTTGGTGGTAATTGAAGAGGATATCGTGGGCTTTCCAACGGTATTTGAAATCGGAGGTTTTGGTGGTCGGAAGTTGCCGAAAAATTGCCTCAGACTTGGCCAAAAAATCTGAAAATTCAGTGACCGTTTTGAAATTTTCAGGTAACTTCAACGACCAACGACCATTTGTGAAATTAACCCTTGATTAATTGGATTAAAAATAGTAGGTTTATTAATTTACTTAAAACGTTTACAGAAAACTTGTGTATTGATAGTCGCCATTCTGCTTTGCTTCAAATCTCGCAACCAAAGCTCCAAACCCAATAAAAAAAAAAAGAAGAGAAAAAGAAGAGAAATTACTTCAGAAATTGATAGATTTATATAAAAGAAAATGTCCAGTAATTGCAGCATAAGGGCTCTCTGGATTCTCAACAATCATGATTCTGTTATTTTCTCAAGGTACTCATTTTTTATTTAGTTTAAATTAAGCTCAGTTTTCACTAATTTTGATTTTTTTTATATATTTTTATTATATTTAATAGGAAATTTCCGGTGGTGGAGAAACGGTGGCGGGACGCATGTGCAAAGGAAGTTAAAAGCTCCGGTGACGATAAATTTAAGTATAATATAGCGCCTTATGATTCAGAGTTCGCTGCGGCTTTTGTTGATCGCAAAAAGAGGTTAGTATTAAGCCTAGAAATATGAATTTTAGTTTTAATTGTCGATTGATTATATGAAAATACAATCTTTATAGGGCAGTTTTTGGTGAAGGTACCTTTCGGAAAGGATTTCGATGAACATTCTTAAATGAAAGAATATATACTTTTTATTTGGGGTTTCATGCTAAATCACATTTTTTTGTTCGATAGTGTGTTTTCTCAATTCGTTCACTGTAATTTGTAGCTCAATTTTCACTAAAAATATGTATCAAAGTAAATGAAAAGATTTTTGAGCAAAAACAATTTAATAAATGAAACTCTGTTTTTAGTTGGAATATCGAACTGTCAGAGACTAACAGACGTGCATGATCATGAGTTATGGTATCTTTTTAGAAGAGTGTTTGTATTATGTAGGTAAAATTTATCTCAGTTAGATGAAAAATGAGTTTAATGGATGATTTGGGTTC